CACAAATTGAAACTTTTAGAAATCTATTAAACTAATTTAGGATTCAGTGGCCAAAGATATACAAACATGAAAGTTTTGACACCTATTAAACATTAAAAGGTCATTAGACCAAATAGACACAAATATGAAAACTAGGAAACAAAATACAAAAACGCTGCAGGCGAAGCGTGGTTAGCCTGCGCCGGGGGAACGTAGCATAGGTAGGAAAGGTAGCCCGGATAGTGGAAGAGCCAGAAGAGGCCGGGTCATTTGATGGAAATAGAAGTTTTTTCCATCCATACAATCCAAAGAAAAACAAAAGCTTTTTAACTTTAATTTCTAGGAACTCAAAATATTCTCTCAACTCTGTTTCCCATGGGAAAATAATTCCTTGAAACATTATCCATGCTTGAAAAGGTTGTCCTTCAAGTGAGTTTAGGACCTTTTATAATGGCCAATTCCAACAAAGGAAGCTACATAAAGGGCAACACGGAATTAACCTTTCTCGTCATCCAACCACCAAACAGCCTGCCTATGCCTTCAAACGAGAAAAAAGAAAACGGTGTCGTATTGTTCTTGTTAGTAGCCCATGCGTGTGTTCTCTTCGAGCTTTGCGCCAATGGGAAGGAATGAATTCTTATTCCTTTACCAGACCAAGGATTCAGACAAGACGGACAGTCAAAAGTTTGGACTATGAACCATCAAAAAGCTGTTAAAATCAAAAGCAACACTAACTATATATTTAGAATCTTCAGAATCCACCTAAATCAACCATCAATCGATGTGGGACCCCCAATCTACTCCCCTTCGGGGCTCAGCCTCCTCGTTGGCACATCGACCAGTGTCTGACTCTGATACCATTTATAACTGTCTAAGCCCACCGCTAGCAAATATTGTCATCTTTGGGCTTTCTCTTTCGAGCTTTCCCTCAAAGTTTTTAAAATGCGTCTGCTAGGGGAGGTTTACACACCCTTATAAACAATGCTTTGTTCCGCGTCAATAGGATTGGAAATCCTATGGGTAAATATAAATAAGGTGGCTAAAAGATTTCAAAGTCATCCTCCATTCAATGAAAGAGATGACAATTTAATTTGTTAGGGCAACGATTCATCCTAATATGATGTTGTCCTTAGGATCTTGTATATTTCTAACTGATGTGGAACTATGTTCACATCCCAACAAGATCTAATCAAAGACCAGCAATATAATCCTAAAGTAAATGCACCCATGAACCACCCGGTTTGTTTTGCAAGAACATAAACTTATGGCTTAAAAGGAGCTGACTGCAAGGATTGAGAAAAGTTCAAACCCCAATGCTTCTAATACCAAACTCCATAAAAGCCAGATGGTTTCTGCTATAAGGTTAAGATTGTACTAAATCCTTCCACTCACACCAGAACCAAGTAGAAAAATAGCTCATCTCGTATACAATACTAGCAGAATAAAGAACATGATTCAATTGAAATCTATTCAAGTAGCATATATACAGATAAGTTACCTACTCAAACGATGCGTCGTCTCGAGATTGTTGTTTATGTGATTTCCATCTCATCATGCTCCCTTTTCTATGAAAAAACTTGCCCTTCTTGTTATGTCTCACTTGCTGCGTTGATTCTTCGATGCTACGTAACTCGGGTTGCTTCACGAGCATTTTGATCTTTGGATGTAAGATAAATCCATGTGATGTCATTTGGTCATATAATTCTCTGGCCTGTTTTAACAGACCATATGTTGCTAAGCCTTGTATCAAGACTTCGTAATGTTCGGAATTAGGCAATATCTCGTACCGCTTCATTTCTTCCCACGCTTTCAACGCATAATCCGGTTGTTCTAGTTCAAATGACTTGTTAAACATTATAACAAAGGTAGCCTCTGTAGGACCTAAACCATTCTGTCTCATCTGCTTAAGAAGTTCAAAGCTCATTTCAGAATCTGCTCCTTGAATAAGAGAATGGTAGGTTTCGATCGTCGGGCTGATATTGTTGTCGGTCATCTTGGTCAGTACATCTTTTGCTTCATCCAGCTTTCCGACCTCACACAGAGGACGTATAAGCGAGTTGTATGTCGTGCAGTCGGGCTGTAAGCCTACTTCTTTTATTTTCTCAAGGATTTTGAGAGCTTCACTGAAACAATTCTCCCGGGTCAACACATAAGCTAAAGAATTATAGACTTCAAGGCTTGGAATCCAATCCCTTTTCTTCATCTCATCATAGAGTCTAAGCGAGTCGAAAAGGTTCCCGGTCCTCGAAAAACAGGAGATCATGAGGGTGTAAGAAGTTGAATCTGGCAAAATACAACATTTAGACATTTCTCTCCAAATTCTCTTTGCTTCAAACACATCAACAGATACATTGCACCAGCCATTGAGAATAATGTTGAAGCTTTCTGTTTCCAAAGGAAAAAGCTTCTTGTTTACAAGCATAAACTCTTCAGCCTCTTCGATGTTCCCATATTTACAGAGAGAATTGAGGAGGGCATGAAAAGCCTCTTGATCCGGAGTCAATCTGAACTTCTCCATCATGTGGAATGTCTTAATGGCCTTACTTGCCTCATTTGCGTGTGCATACCTTAATCCAGAACAACCTTGTTAACAGTATGCAATTTTCAAAAATAACTATGGATGTTAATCTCCCTTCAAGCCATTAAGAAACAAATTAACAGAATGCATCAAAAAAAGCCTTTTCTGTCACAGAAATATGTTGGCCATCCTTCAATCTAATAGAACACACAAATTAAAAATGAAATGCTACTCCAGTTTCAACCAAAAGCGTCTTGCTCATGGAAAACCCCACACGCACACACATAAACAAAGACTCATTTACATATAGGCTTGTTGAAGCAGGCTATTTTCGTCACAAACTTGATTTGTGAGATCCTCGGGGTGAATTGTTAGATCCCACATCAGTTGATGAGAAGAACGAAACATTCTTTATAAAGGTGTGAAAACCTCTCCCTAGCATATACGTTTTAAAAACCTTGAGGGAGAGCCCGAAAGGAAAATCACAAAGAGGACAATATTTGCTAACGGTGGGCTTAGACTGTTACAAATGGTATCAGAGCTAGACACCGGATGGTGTGCGAGCGAGGACGTTAAGCCCAAAGGGGTGGACACTGGGCAGTGTACCAGCGAGAACACTGGGCCCTAAAGAGGGGTGAATTGTGAGATCGCCCTAAAGAGGGTAGATTGTGAGATCCCACATCGGTTGGAGAGGGAAATGAAACACTCCTAAGGGTGTGAAAACCTCTCCCGAGCAAATGAGTTTTAAAAACCTTGAGTGACGCACGGAAGCAAAGCACAAAGAAGACAATTTCGGTTAAGACTAGGTTTGAACTCATGCATGGTTTCCACGTTACTTAGACTACGTCTTAAGTTATCGAGTAAAATCAAAATGCAAAAACGTTTTCGCTAGTCATTACAAATGGCATGACAGAATGCAAAAAGAAATGTCAGAGTAAATGGAGATATGCGAAAATAAATTTTACCTATCAATCATGACATGCATCGCTTGCCTCGAATTCAACAAGGATCCATGAAATTCTCTAATCAAACACCAAGCAGTACTGAATTTCTTGTGATTGCCCAACACCCATATCATCAAATTACAAATTTCTTCGTCAATAGATCCCCATTTCTCACCCCATTTGAAGGCTAGAAATGACGATTTCCAATCATCCCTCAACACCCAAATTGCGGAGTACACCAAATTCGGATCTGCCTGGACATCAAACTCGCCCAACGCAGCAATAGCCTCCACTTCCGAGGGCAAACGGGCGGCCCGTTTAAGCAATTCGACGAATTGGGCACTTCGCGCATCGTTTTGGCGATGGTTTTGGAATCTTAGTGTGTCAAAGTGAAATGGGTGGGCAACTTTTTGAGAACAGAATGGAAGTGCTGAGAATTGACGAGCGGACTGAGAAGGCAGGAGAAGTGTTTGATGAAATGCCTGAGAGGGCGAATGGGGAATTTGGAAATTGATGAGCTGAAGGAGTTGACGGAATGGCAATGGAGTGTTTCTGGAGAGCCCTCTTGCAATAGAAGAAAGACACGCCATGAATTCATGTACGCGACTGTGAGATACAGAAGGCTCGGCTGGGCGGTGGAATTTGGGCTACAATTTGAACTACGAGACTTTTTTATATGGGAGAAAGTGAAGGTACCAGGCGCCACGGAACCGCCAAGTTACTGTATGTGACAGACTCGTTTATAATAGTGAACAAATATTGAACCACGAGGCCATTTATTTATTTTCTTTTTAAAAAAATTAGATCTCTTTTATTTGTTTTTACTTTTAAGAATTTTTTTAAAATTCACGCTTGAAAATTACAATAATAATAATAATAATAATACTCGACTAATCTTTTTCAGTTTAGATTGGGTTGGATTATTGAAAAATTGAATATTTGGATCGATTTACGGGTTGACTTTTTTTTATTGAGTCAACCCAACTAACTTCTAATCGAGTTAGATCTTTTTCAATTTGGATTAGGTTGAATTATTGAAAAATCGAATATTTTGATCGATTTACGGGTTGACGTTTCTTTATCGAGTCAACCCTGTTGGATGATGAAAATCCCACATCTGCTAATTTAGGGAATGATCATAGGTTTATTAGGTTTATAAGTGAGGAATACTAACTCCATTGATCTGAGCCCTTTTGGGGAACCCTAAAGCGAGTCGTGTTCTTCTAACAAACCCAACTAACCTAAAAAATATAAGAATTTTAGTCTTATATTTTAGTTATTAATTGTAACAATAAGATTATTTTTAAATAATTCAATAACTCAACCCGTAAATAGGAGGTTAGGTTCGATTGGGTTATAAACTTTATTCGAATGCCTCCTTATTAATCCTATCAACTGAAATTTTTTTGGATACGAAATTTTATTTTATAAATAATAAACGTGATTTAAAAAAAAAATAAAGACATACCTATTAAATACGAATTAAAAAAAAATAATACTTAAATATTTTATAATTAGGCATACACATGGAATGTAGAAAGAGTCAATTTAGTCCAAAGACGGGACATCAAAAACACCGTAACCAAACGCCCCCAAAGGGTTCACCGAGCATTGAGTAAAACTGGAAGAACACACCATTTTGAGAGACAATCGGCGGACAAAATGAGCGGCGATGCCAAGAGCGGCGGTTCGATCGGCGGAGGAGGTGGTTTCAGATCGCGAATGGAGCACTATTTATACAGCGGTGAGAAGAAGCACGTCGCCGCTGGCATTGTCGTCATTGGCATCATCTTCGGCATCCCTTGGGCCCTTATGAATCGAGGTTTTTGTTCTTTCCTTTACCAAATTTTGTTTCTGTTACTCTTATCTCTGATGATCCTTTGTTGCTTCTGAGAGGAATTGATGTGGAAAAGCAAATTTGAACTCGTCGAGTCGTTTTTTTTTTTTTTTTGCCCGAGATTTGAAGAACGGAGACGTTTAAGTATTGACGTGTGCTGTGCACTAAGAAGATTTCGATTCTTGAATGGATTTCTGTTGCAAAATTACTTCTTAGTTTTGCTTGAAAACCGAACAGGGAATTCAGCAATCTTTGGATTGCAATGGTGGGCATCGGGGTGTTCACTTTTTGGTTGTGTAATTTAGGGTTTCAGAATCTGGGCAGCTTCGATTACGATATGTTTAGAAATTGTACGTTTTTCTGTTGGGGTGATTCTGTAATTTGGAATGAGGAATGGTAGCTTATCGGGGCAATATTGTAGAGGATTTGACGATAATGATTTTTTGAACTGCAGAAATGGTCCAAGAGAAATCAAAAGTGATGCCTTGGGGCTGTATGGGAAGTGCTCTAGAGTAACATATCGATGAAAATGTCTTTATAAAGTTTTGTTTGTCAGATTACTTTTAGATTGTTTTCATGGTCGATTTGGTTGTAGCTAAACTGAAGTTATTCTTCCTTATAAGATCATAGGCGAGTAAGTAGTGTCGATTAAACTGCTGGTGTATATACTTGATCTAAGAGGTCAGATATTCGAATCTTCCACCCCACAAGTTGTTGAACTTACAAAAAAAACTTACTGAGACTTTTGCCCCCACTCTAATTTCCCCAGTAGAAGTCAAATAGGATCGAAAGTTGGACTATTCCCTTACCTAAAGGCAAGCAAGCTTCAGCTGCTTTACTTTGTGAAATCAGGTCAGGTCAAGGAATAGGGTGAAAGGTTTAGGAGCAAACAAACCTATGCTAATTGCTAACATGACGATGGCTCTTGGGAAAGGGTAGAGTATGCCTACAAATCAATCTTTACACACATGATAGTAAAGCTAGCTTATCGACGATTCTACAATAGGTGGCCACTACGTAAATAGATAAAAGCCCCCGAACACACTGATACATAAATCTATTTGAGGCTTTACTTAAAATCGACATGGCTCATCATCACCACTTAATTGTTTGCAGGGTCAAAGCATCAGTCTCATCAAGATTACATGGAAAGAGCTGATAAAGCAAGAAGTCAGAGACTCTCTTCAGGTTCATCATCAGCTAAATGATTTTTTTTGTTTTTTTTTTGGGTTTCTTCTGATAGAGAGGATGTTCTTTGGGGCACTTGGTTGGCTTAAAGTTTTTGTAGTATCTCCTATATCTTGCATTTTTAACTCCATCTGCTGACACTAAATGAAGATAAGTTAAAACTCAACAAGGAACACTTGTGGTTTTGAAATAAAGAACGAACTTTTGTTCTCTTTACTTGTCTCTTTATATCCTACTTTTAGTGTTGAAATGGTTCTTATATTGAGAGTCAATGGTGACGAAATTCAGAGAATTACTCACTTATGCATCAAATACTTCTTTCCAGCATCTCAATATTTGTAATTCAGAATCAAGATTTGCACTTGTTCCTCTTCTAGGCCATTTTTTCCATGCATTTTCACAGATTTATTAGTACTTTTTTCTTTTTAGTTGCTTAAAGCTGCAGACTTTCATCCTTGGTTTCTCACATACCTGTACCATTATATTGATCTAAAATTGATATTAATTCCAAACCTCGGTCATTACTTCCTTTTTTTATAAGGATTCTTATCACTGTTGGTGTTCCTGTGGTCTTAAATTGGTCATCCTTATATCTCTACCTAGGCAGGGATGGTAAGTCTTTCTCGTCCCCGTTCCTATTTCATTTTCCATTCTCATGAAATTCCTCAATTATTTTTTTGGGATCCGAGCTAAAATTCTCCACAAGTACCATGTTGGTTGTTTCCCATTTTTAAAATTTTTTTCAAAGAATTTATTAATGAATAATTTTCATTTTCTAATATAATTTCTATTAAAAATGAAAAATATCTTATAAGAAATATATAATATAACGTTCAACATCATTTTTTTAATTCAAATTTCAATAGTATAATATAGTATTCAATACCTTGAAAAATATTTATTTATTGAAAGTATATATATACATATATAAATGAAGCAGGGCGGGATCGAAGATGGGTTTCTATTCAGTTAATGGAAAATAATCTCTTCTCGCTCCCTCTCTCGAGATCTCCATCTTTACATAAAATGCAATGTATTGGATTCCCAGCCTGTGCCAAATCATATAAGCACCCTAACATTGAAGTCCTGGCCCAGACTTATGCGATTGTTGATTCCATGTATGTTCTGATCTTGGGTGTTCCAAGAATTTTTCTTTTTTTTTTTTTAAAAAAAAAAGAGAGAATAAAGTTTCATGAACAAATAAACAAAGGGTTCAAATTCTATTGGAATCATAGGTTGGGAAAAGTCAGATAAAACCTAATGGAGCCATAGGTTTAATTCTGTTGCTATCTTCTTAATGTTTACCTCTGATTTTGTTGCATGCGATTATCCTTCTGGGAACATTAAATAACAAATAACATTGGAACGACCTAATTTTGCTAATTTTGCTGAACAACCTCATATGATAAGAGATTGCAATCATTGAATCTGTATCTATTTGATTCATAAATTTTTCAAAAATGACTAAAAAGATCAAGTGGAAGAAAAATGCAAGTCATATAAAGCTATCCTCGGGAAGAAAATTCGCAGTACTGTGGCAAAAGAGATAAGGCATTCACAAAGAGAAATTTACTTTACAAAATAAGATCGCTCTTTAACAAGTTATCGACCAATGAGAAAATTTAACTTACTGAATGGTGAGCTTCGTCAATTTTTAAAATTGTATGTCATCTATTCAGCTTTAGAAGGGCCTTCGTTCGGATCAGACGGCGGTTGATTGGACGTTGAAGGCAGCTCCGCAGCAGAAGTAGAAGCGGCATTTGGGTTGTGGATGGGCTTCTTAAATTGAACCAAGATCATAGTCATGTTGTCACATCCTTCACCACCAACTGAGGGTGCCAAGCATCTGTCAAATACTCTCTCACAAATGACTGAGAGTTTACTTTCCTGCATTGGACACAAATTGAAATCAGCATAAGCCAACTCGACCTCCTTCATTTCTCAATATATGCTTACATGAACGACCTCGACTAATGTATCTGACAAGTGTCTTAACACGGACTTACCGTTTTAAGTTGATCTCCAATGTAATCAACCAGTTGTTGGCTGGACATACAATCCCTATGCAGAGAAAGAGATGGTCATTTACCATATTATAGGTTTTATGTCAGTCAATAAAATCTATTACTAATTCCATTATACTCGATGAAAATGCTATCAATTTAGAAAGCCTCAGAACTACAATGCTGGTTTTTCTTGCTTATAAATGGTACACGTAGAAGTGGGAAAATTTTTAATCCAAAACATAAATATTACAGAAGATTGCGACTACTATATATAATTTAAATGCCTCAATGATTCGGATTTTAGAGATTATTTTTCCCCTTAAAGCACAAAATCTGAAACTTACCAGATGCCATCGCATGCAATAACAAGAAATTCGTCATCCTCGCAAAGCTCAACCTAATAACGAGAAAAACAAATGAGATCGTGAGAACATGAGAGGGATTAAACGGAAAATGATGATACCGTTCCAGAATCATTATAATCAAACTTCAACAAAGTTTTAATGATGGACAACTAGTTCGCTTAGAAGGTGTCAATTAAACTTTAAAAATAAAGAAACTTTTATTTGAGCCCCCCTTGAACTGGAAAACTTGCTGCATCAAAAGAAATTAAAAAAAAATATATACATATAAGCATATAACACCCTGGCTGAAATATTGAAACCACGAATACGTACAGTTGTTACATCTGGATTGGCAGTTACAATCTGCTTTTCTGCAGGCATAGTTTCATTCTGCTTAAACTCCATGTCACCTGTAAAAACAGGTTTCCAAATCAATAGTAGTCACGGAAGGAAATTCTCAATTAAGACTTAGAAAGTATGTATCTACAGCCCGTGCCCTCCCCAATTTATATTCTAAATTTAAAACTAAGAATTAGAGAGGATGTACCTATAGCCCGTGCCAAGTTGAGACTTCCATTGACACGACCAACTCGGATGAAACCACCGGCTTTCAAAATTCTGTCCTTCTCTGCCTCAAGATCAGGCTTGTGATCTTTAGATAGGTTATATGCCTGTGAAGAAGAAGAAGAAGTTAGGTGGAGCACTAGACACACATGAAAATATCTCGATTATTCAAATTAATCTCCCCAACTTTCAGTGCTTTTCATGACATTTAAAATAATCATATTTGTCAGAGTTGTTACATCCGTATCTATTTATGCTTTTTCACAATCAGAGAGAGATTAACAGTATTTCAAGTGAGAAGTGTTGGAAGAAATCTGGTTAGGAAACAGTACTACAGAAATTGTCAGTTCATCATCACTCCAATTAACGCATCCAGTTGCCTGCGTGTCTCTATTATCCTCTCTCCTTATACAGCGCAATTTGACCAAAACTGACATAGAGGTTTAACCGAATATTGATCTAATAAATCCACCACTCATATGAATTAAAATGAGATATGTTGGGGCAAAAGAAATGAGAATAAAAATAATTGAAAAATATATTATACGACCAATTGCCTGCCTATCTCTATTATCCTCTCTCTTCTTATACAACGCAATTTGACCAAACTGACATAGAAGTTTAACCGGATATGGATCTAACAAATCCACCATTCATATAAATTAAAAAGAGACAGTTTGGGCAAGAGAAATGAGAATAAAAATAATTGAAAAATATATTATGCAACCAACCATGAGCATCGGCTAGAGATTATATCATTACACATCTAATAAGTTATCATCTTCACTTCTAATCACATCTCAAAACATCTAATTGATTATAAATTCATAATTCTAATCACTTCTCAACACATCCAATTGGTTATTCACACCTCTGATCATGAAGATATATGCTGCTGTTAAGATCATGTAAAGTAATTGAGAAATATCTTTTTGATGCAAATACCTGGCCCTTTCTGGAAATGACACAGCGAGAATCCCCAGCATTGGCCACCACAAGTTGGTTATTTCGTATGATTGCAACACAAGCTGTGCTTCCAGCATTTGGTCCATGAAAGTCAGAGTGAGGTCCCTAGTTAGCAACATCACCTCCTCACTTTAATTGAATCCATGCCCAAACATAAATGTACAATTGTTTCATAACAAAACTTAACCCAAAACTAACACAGGTTACTACAAACCAATGCAAAGAAATACAGTTAGTGAACTGCAAATGGCATCGAACCGGACACAGAAGAAAGAGGGGAACTACCTCTTCTACAAACGCATGTCCACCTCAAAACAGAAAAGGAAAGTAAATCCACCATAGCAACTGGGAATTGTGCATAAAAATACCTCCTCCGGAGGCCAATCATCCACTTGATTGTTAGCTTCCGCACTCTTGGGCGACCATATAAATCCTTCTATCATACCAGAAATCTTGTCCATTTTGTCTCCTAAAATAGCTAATTCTCTCCATCCTCTTTGTCCACACATCATCTCATCCATTCTGCACCAATTGAGAGTGACAAAATAAGAAGGTTGACCTTGGAGTCTTGACACAAACAGCATTTCAACCATCAAAGGTGGAAGAGATGAAGCAAGGACCACATCATATCCTGATTTAGAGACTACACCCCCTTCATTTTTAGTTAATTAATCTTTGTAAACAAATTATAAAAAATGCCTAGTGCATCAAATGAATTCACAACTATACAACTTTAGACAGTTCATCAGTAGAAAACCCAAATAATCATGAAGCACTATTTATTTCATCACCATCAACAAAATAAGAAACTTCCCAACTGCTTAATCCAGGACAATGAGATAACCACTAAGGATAACATGTAGACTAAAATAAAGCCAGTGGATTAATAACCTAAGAAAGGCCTTCTGTACTGAAGTTCCTAAATCACCAGCCATGTATGATTCATGTTTGAGCACCTGTTGATGGAGATACTTGGCACAGAACTTTGAAACTGCTTTACCTGCATTTCAATAGACTTTGATGAGGGAAATTTTTTTTTAAAAAAATCACAGAAATGCAAGTACATTTCAATCAGGTAACAAATAATTACTGGTAAAATAGGAAAGAGAGAGAGAGAGAGAGAGAGAGAGAGAGAGAGAGATGCTGCTCAAAAAACAGATGCTAACCTCCATGGCCATCGTAAACACCAAAGAAAGATGTTGATGTGTCAAAATCTAGACAGGCTGCATGCTGAAACTTAGGTAGGGTGAGACTGGATCCATATGCAACACAACATAATAGATCTCAAATATTACTCCTTTTAGAACGTGAAGAATGCATATCAATTTCAGAGACT